CAGGCGCCCCTAGAGTTTTTTAGTTAAGGAATTCACAGCTGTCAGTATTGTTAATCATTAATGTTTTATTAAATATTTACAGAATATTAGTAGAACTTTTTTTTGAAAAAGAAATTGTGCTAGCCATTAGAAAACTGACATGGTATGTACATAAGGACCAGAGCCAAAAAAAAAAAAGTTTCATTCAACTATTATGTCATAATTTAGGAACCAGAAGGAACTTATTTATAATATAAATTTTGAACAGCCAGAATTTTTACGGATTTTGGCAGAGTAAAGTAAATTAATGACATTTGATAGTCAGCATTTTTCCTTTCCATTTTCCATAAAGAAAGGCCTTAAATCAAACCATTTTTCCAGAGGGCAATGTACTAGTGCTACAAATAAAATCCATTTAGCCTGATAAAGATATTCTTAAAAGTAGCCAGGGTCATCTTGAACCATTATAGAATCTTAAACCCAGATTCTAAGAAATGGTTAGAATCCATAAGGAACAAAATAGTTTCAGGAGATAATTGTAAAAATTATGTCCTCATCTGTTGAGGAATTATAACATTCACATGAATGAGACATACAGCTTCTTTGACTAACCTGATGAGGGTAAATCAGTGTTCTGAGTCAGGGAGAAGCCCTTTAAAGACAGGAAAGAATGTAAAGTTGATCGTGAGACCACAGAAGCATGGAATAAACCAAATGGTAGAAGAGGATACCATTAGGTGGAAGAATAAATGTGGAGTACAAAATGCTCAGGATGTTGGGAAAGGCAATTATAATAAAAGCCTTTCTAAGTAAAAAGTCCACTGTAAGATGTGGTGGCCATGTTGCCCAATGGTTAGCAATACAGGCCCTCGAAATCACACTAGATTGGAATCCTGTCTCTACCACTAACTAGATATGTGACACCAAGGAATCTATGTGATCTCTTTGGGCTTCAAGTTCCTTCTCTTTAAAATACAGAAGTCTGTAAGGATCTCTCTCTTAAAATGGCACAATAATAGTAACCACCTCTAGGATGCAGTGTTGTTTAAATGAGTTAATTCCTATGAAGTACATAAGGTAGGACACGACCTATCATAAGCACAGGACTTATTCTCTTACCTCCAAGTCTTTGTTTAAATGTCACCTTCAATGGGGCATTCCCTGACTGCCCTAATGAGAAGGCAGTCCCACACTGTCTGTCCTCCTCTGCCAGCTTATTTATTTGTCTCCCTACTCTAAACTGAAGTCTTAATTCATTGTTGTAGCCATAATGCTCAGAACAGTGTCTGACATATGGTGGGTACTCAATAAGGAATTATTACGTGAAAAACTATATATATAATATTAGGACAGCTAATACTATTATTAAAGAAGTATTTTAGATTAGGAGTGATTGGGGGGAGGGCACAAAATGCAAACAGGAAAATAAAAGTACAGCAAGGGTGAGAAAGGCAAAGGAACAGGCTCTGAGGAGAAGTGGCATACAAGTAAATGGTGTCATAAGGTATAGATCATCTTTGTGGTGTATCATTTAATCCTCTGGGCAAATCAGGATCAGTGAGTTACATAAAGAGAAGATTAACCATGCCTGTCCAGGTAGACTGCTTACCATGCTTATTCTCGACAGAAACTAATCATTATTTCCAATTTTTGTGTTCTTACAGGCTGGAGACATCATAACAGAGCTGGAATCTGTAGATGATGACTGGATGAGTGGAGAACTAATGGGAAAATCTGGAATATTTCCCAAAAACTATGTTCAGTTTTGACAAGTCAGCTAAAGGTGAAGCTTGACTGTGTTTTTCAGCACAAGAACTCACTTGAACTATCACTTTGACTATCAGATATGTTTTTGCACTATTTTTTTAAACTGAATGAAATACCTATGCTGTACATGGTACACTAGAATTTTCTGAAAGCAGAATATGATTTTTTAGTCAGCTTTCATTCACAGTAGAAACCTGTACATGGAAACCCATAAGCAAGCCTTGATGTTCTATCAAGGAAGACATCAAGCAGGATTAGCAAGGCAGACAGACACTTCCTCTGGGGAGAGAGTCAGGTGACATGGCAGCATGGGGAGGCTTAGAAGCAAAAGTTGCACTTAGACATCTTTTCATCAGCACAAGGAAATTAACCATGCTTGTTCCATTTTTTACTTTAGTTTAAAAAGAGGACATTTGATATTCTCCGTGCTGTAACTATCAGGACATGGTTGGTAATCTAAATTTCATTGTTGATATTCAAATTAATTCTAACCACTTAAGCGCATTATCCCTTATTACCAGGGCAAATCTCTGCTTCAGGTGAGGCAGTTTATTAACTAGTTGGGGCCTTTATAAGCACGTGGTGAATCAGCTCGTGCTCATCGAATGCTCCTTGTGTTACTAAGTATTTCCCCTTTGTCTAAGGATTTAAGGGTGATTAAAATTTGATGTATCTTAGTCAAAAGAACCAAAATCATCTTGAAATGCCTTGCTAATACAACTAACCAATCATTCCACCTACCTGCCATACCTTCTCTCTTCCATGTATATTTTATGTTAACAGGGTTATTATAAAGCACATTTTCTGAATCTGCAATCATTCTTTTGACAATTACTGGTACCCAAAGAAAAATTCATTTTCTTTGCGTTACCCCAGTAATATATAAAAACTGTCTTGTTATAGTGGTACATTATGAATTGCATATATCTCAGAATACAGAGCAACGGTTAAAACAGAAAACACCAAACCCCCACAGCTCATTTCTTCCCATTATAATCAGAATGAAAAATAATTTAAGAAGACCGAAGGCTGATAGTTATTTGGGCTTTTTCCCCCAGCTCATCCCTGAACAAATTATTAGAGCAAATGAAAAACCACTTTCCTGGTATCCATTTGTTATGCATTCCAGGCTTAAGATAAAAGTGGTTCTTTATGTGACTGAATCAATTACAGTTTATGGGCTTAAGCCAAATAGGTCGAAGACAATCTTCAAACAGATCAATGGAATAGAATTTCATTGGAAATGTAAAACACTTGCCCAACAATGTTCATGACTTTCTTCTATTTTTGAGAAGAATTCATATACTAGACCACTTGTTTGCTTTTGTTATGATTTCCCATTGTCCAAAAGTTAGGCAGCCAGTCGTCAAACCGTTATGTGAACACCATGTGGGGTTTTTGTAAGGGAAGAGATGTTTACTGTCTTTGATGGAAATTCATCTTCCATTTACATGATTACAATTGATTTGGGAATATGGGAGCTGTTTTTCTTACATTTTGGTTAAAGAGGACAGTATAAAGAAAACTCTTGTCAAATCTCAAGAGTAATTTTACAAGAAATGAATGACTTAGCATTATCTTGACTAAATTCTTATTTGCAGCAAGGTGCACAACAATAAGGAAGTGGGGATGTGTCTGGAATAGGATGGGGGTATGTTATTTTGCCTGTGTAATTTTAACATCATATATCAAAGATCATGAAAGCCTAGCTTTATTGGAGAAAAATATTCCTCTTAAATTTTGGCCTTGTGTTAGCAGAATGATAAGTGCAATAGTTGTAAATCTACTTGACACTATAATAAACTGAGCTGAATTTTTCAAAGTCCTTTTCTCATACTCGACTGAGTTTTTTGAGAATGGAGATGGTACCTTTGTATCTCCAGCCCTTTGCACCCTGTATGTAGACTCAATAAAAGTTGGTTGGTTGGTTGGTTGGTTGGTTGGATGATTGGTAGATTGGTTGGTTAGATGGAAAGCTTTCACATATAGCAATACTATCTCAGATCCCCAAGATCCAGTATTTTTCCTCCTTAATTTGTAGACAAAAATCTTCATTGAAACAAAATTCACAGTTTGTATCATTTCACTCCTTCATGACACCTTTTTTGCTTGCCACTTATTACCCAGTCAACTGACAAAATGCCGGAATGTTGCTCAGTATGGGTTTTCATAGGTATTTCCTTGTTGTCTGTATTGATTGAACATATTACACTCGGTGAATTTCATAGGGGAGGAATAGAAATATACTTTTTCCTTTCAGTAATTTTAGATGAAACCTGATATTGTACATCCAAGCCTACTCAAACTAGAATCTTCAAATCCTTTTTCTTTAGTGGATTGAAACTAGAGAAGTCACTTAATACATTATTCTTATCCTTTAAAATACTTAAATATTTTTTTTTTCAACGTTTTTATTTTATTTTTTTTTTTTTTTTTTTTTTTGGGACAGAGACAGAGCATGAACGGGGAGGGCAGAGAGAGGAGACACAGAATCGGGAAAGGCTCGAATGAGCCATCAGCCCAGAGCCTGACTGTTGGGGCTCAACTCCCGGACCAGATCGTGACCTGGCTGAAGTCGGACGCTTAACTGACTACAGCCACCAAATGCTCTATTAAATATTTTTTTTTTTAATCTACTTTTTTTAATTTTTTTTTCAACGTTTTTTTTATTTATTTTTGGGACAGAGAGAGAAAGAGCATGAACGGGGAAGGGGGCAGAGAAGGGAGACACCTCAACACAGGAACGAGCCGACTCAGTCCCGAGCCATCTGCAGACCTGACGCGGGGTCAAACTCCCGGACCGCGAGATCGTGACCTGGCTGAAGTCGGACGCTTAACCGACTGCGCCACCCAGGCGCCCCTAATCTACTTTTTTTTTAAAGTAGATTTTGTTTATATAGATGGAGGGGTAATGTAAGATATCTGTCACTGGGCTCATGGAAATCACAGGTTTTAAATACAGCCTGAAACATTCATAGTGAAAAACAGTCTGCATTTATCAAGATTTATTGTTAGAACTAGCATTTGAAAAAAAATTTTTTTTCTATAGGATTTATTATACATCAGTACTCTTTTAACAATAATTGTTTGGTTTTTATTTTAGTATCTCAGTTTCTTAAGCTGAGATAAATATACCTAGTGAAATAGCGATGGATATTTGAGCTCATTATAAGGGAATATTTGTTATAATCATTAATAGTTTATTCCTTTCAATTAATGCCAAATGTACACGAACCATATGATTCATAATTCAATGCCATTTTGAATATTTAACACTGGATTTTTTTCAGAACTAATAGGAAATCATTTTCTAACCTATGCCTTTTTACTTCACTGTAATTATAGAGGGGAAAAAAAATACAAAGCCTAAGTCAGAACAACAGCACCATCTAGGGGCCTCTCTCCTAATTGCAAGCTCATCCTGTTAAACCACAGAAGAGTGCAGACCAGAGCTCTCAACCTGCAGAGATTAAATGATTTGCCTAAGGTCATACAGGTATGGCAGAGCTTAAAGCGAAACCTAGCTAGTTCTACTGATTTCCAGTTGAGTACTTTTTTCGTTGTGCTAACGTGATACGTTAAACAAGTAGATTTCATCTGTTTTATTGTCTATAAACAAAACGTTTCAGATATGGGGCCCCTGGGTAGCTCATTCGCTTAAGCATCCAACTATTGGTTTCGATTCATGTCATGATCTCATAGTTCATGAGTTCCAGCCCCACGTTGGGCCCCACACTGCCAGTGTGGTGCCTACTTGGAATTCCCTCTCTCTCAAAATAAATAAACTTAAAAAAAAAAAAACCATAGCTTCTCAGATATAACACTTACGATTAGAATGAGTTGCAGAGAATAAAGTCTTAAATTTATTTCCTCAAAAAAAAAAAATCCTGCTTAGTTTCTCAATTTTATGTACACAATTTATATTGATGTTACCTAGGCATGAACTGATTCATTAATGGGCATTCCTTTTCAGTGTAGTAGAGAATATATGAATGCTTGAAGCATCAGATCATGAGAAGGTGTGACTGTAGGGCTGTGCTCTTGGTAACAGCAACGATTCCTAAACCTAGCTTTTCATACACATATAGTGCGAAAAACTGTTGTATTTTGGAGTCTAATAGATTAACTCAGGCACTGTTAAGCTATTTAATAAATGTATATTTGAGGATGGGATACATTCTAGATTTTTTTTTTAAGGAATCTTAATGGCATGTAAGCCATGGATTATTTATCTTCAAATACTGTAAATTAGGCAATAACTTGAAATATTTTTCAGGAGAAGTAAGAACTAAAGTTTATAATTCAGAAAGGAAAATTACCTTTGGTCGTATATCCTCTTTTAACAGAAATAAACTTGGGGCGCCTGGGTGGCGCAGTCGGTTAAGCGTCCGACTTCAGCCAGGTCACGATCTCGCGGTCCGTGAGTTCAAGCCCTGCGTCAGGCTCTGGGCTGATGGCTCGGAGCCTGGAGCCTGTTTCCCATTCTGTGTCTCCCTCTCTCTCTGCCCCCTCCCCCATTCATGCTCTGTCTCTCTTTGTCCCAAAAATAAATAAACGTTGAAAAAAAAAAAGAAATAAACTAAGAGTCTTCATACCAAAATAGTGACCTATATTTAGTTCTGCTTTACAATTAGAATAAAAAGGGAGTGACATTTATTTCTCCGGTCATATCTAAGTTTTTTATTTAATAGAGCCCTGACTCAGAGGACCACTAAGGCCCACCACATTGTTCCCCCTGTCCCAGGTAGCCAGCAGTGAGGAGCAGAGTTGTTACTTTCAAAGAGTGTCAGAGCATTTAACTAACCTTTCAATTCAGTACCCTACCTGAGATTACTCTATACAGACATACCTCAGTGATACTGGGGGTTCAGTTCCAGACCACTGCAGCAAAGCGAATATCATGATGAAGCAAGTCAAATGAATATTTTGGTTTTTTGGTGCATATATAAGTTATGTTTACACTATACGGTAGTTTATTAAGTGTGGAATAACATTACGTCTA